AACATTACGTGACACGCTGGAAGGAAACACCAGAATTCTGGTGAGTACAGATACGTTAATCAAACTCAATGGATTGCATCAATTTTTAAAGTGGATGCTGCCGCGCAGACTGAAAATAGAGCCATTTTCTTATAACCAAAGAAAAATATAATGGTATGTCTCTGGCATTTTCCATCTTAAGGAACTAAGCATTGTTTATACTCAAAGTGAAATAGAAAAGACTAATCTCACAAAACTCACTATTTCTTCTTAGAAGGGAGTTTTGTTTAAATACGACCTGCTATTTCAATTAAAAATCATGTATAACATTCGTGACTTACCGATTTGTCATAATTTGGTGGCCCGTCCTTAATCAAAATTTTTAAAATTTTCCTTAAATTCATAAAATTTTATTTTCAACTTTCTAAATTAAGTCACTAACGAAGCGTTTATTTAACTTGAATTTTCTCATTTAATTTTTCAAAGACGAGGCTATAGTTTGTGATCATTCAGAGTGTTTTCAACTAAGACCATAAAATTTTATAATGGCATGGGAGCAAACAGATAATTTATCTAACCACTTGAAAAAATTTCCATCTAGCCTTGATCTTAATTTAAACTCAGACAATCGCAAAGCATTTTAAAGCAACGTTTAGACTTGGTGGCTTTGAATTCTCCCAGCTTTTAAGAGTTTAGTTGAATTGAAATGAGATTTGACGTATTTAAAGCGCTTTGATTATGCTACTAGGAAAGATATATGAGGTGATATGATTAACAAACAAGATTAACAAACGGGTCACGGATCTCCGATTTATCGAGAATATAAAGAGTAAAAGTAAAGCTTTTTTATGATCTCAATGAATCCTCTGACTCCTCATTTTCACATTTTTATAGTATAGAGCAAGTAAATTCATTTCTTTAATTAAAATTTATTATTTGCATTTACCGTCATTAACCTTAAAGTACATTTTTATTAACCAATGATAAGTAGCCAAAGAAAAGGACAAAGTGTTAAACTCACTTTACTATTAGGCGGAGGAATTTGGATTGCTTTTTACTCTTGTATGTGAAAGCGATGTCCAATTGGGACTGACCACTGCTTCTTTCATGATTGTTCAATTTTTCTCTGCTAAATTTCAAACATTTCAGTAAATGTGGTGCTTTCGTTGATCTTTGATTGAGTTGCCATTTACGATAGCTAACTTTTTGGATTGCAAGATAGTCAGATCAATCATTCAGTAGCCAGGTATGTGCTGTGGTAAAAGTTAGCCGTGTCACTACTCATCAAAATTACTTAGCGTGGGTTCGCAAATGTAAACTTAAAGTGGATCATCGTCATAACGAGATCAAAGGCAGGGGAGGGGGAATAGTTTCCTGTACGCAATACTTTGGGCCATTATAATCTCACCTTAATCCAAATTTGCGAAATTGATCAAATTTATAAATCTTGTGTGCCTAGCCAATAAGCATAATATTGGCTTAGTATTTAGTTATTTTTTTATGAAAAGTTGACTTGTCTTAAACATATAGGAAGCGCTTCTGTTAAAGTTGAGATGAGGTGATCTTCAGATCCTATGACGTCGTGGCGGTTTTAATTTAATTGCGTATGAGGGGAGTGGGGGGGGGGGAAGGGGTATCAAACAGTATAATAGGAACTTTAAGTATTAGCTGAGCAATTCTTACAATTTTTGCCGATGCTAATTTAGTGCGTGTGTATAAGGTTTATGTTTTTGGTTTTCTGCTTAAGCTTGAACGGTATTCAATTCACATAGTAATTAGGCATAAGTCGGCAATTGGTACACGCCCCTTTCCCGTTAATTTAGCCAAGTTACCCGGATAAACGGTGGACACGGTGGTTATAGGGCATTTGGTACAGACGTTTCAGTCTCACCATGGCCTTCATTCTTTATCTCAGTTTTCTGCCTTTCACTCAAATTTCCATTGTTTTTGCACATTGTATCTCGGTTGCTCTCTACTTTCAATCTTCTAATTTCTTAACAGTACCGCCACAAGTTAAGAACAGAATTTACAGCCGAGAATGTTTGCACCTTATTTGGCAAACTCTCGGAGATGCGACTAATCGTGCTTATTGGTTATACTTCTTAAGGGATAGATATTGAACTGACGGATTTTCAAGACACTCATAGATGAAACAGCAATAGTCTTAAATAACTTCAGAAGACACCTCCAAAGTTAGCTCTTTGGTGCAGTTTAAAGGCTAATCAAAACGTATGCCAAGTGTGTATTCTCATAGAAAATATACTATTTCTGGTAAAACAATCTGAGTACCAAGTAAATGTTTTGATTAATTCCTTTCAATTAATATCTAATGTTTAATAATTCAGAGAATCATGACTTAATATTTGATTGATTTAGTATTGCTTTATTTGATAGAAACCACCTGAATCAGCAAGATGAAGGCTTTAGAAAACAGGGTGAAATTCGCACCAATTTGTATTGGAAAGATTTCTTTGAGAAATTGATCGATATCTATTGATATGTGTAACAGATTGTGGGATTTAGGCATTAGAATAGACCATCCATTAATATATTGAATGGCTAAGTTAAAATATAACTAAATTCCATTTCTCAGAGTAATTTACTGAGACGTCTTAAGTAAGCATTAATGAGTGTACTTTAGTACAAACTTACTCAAACGCATTGTCGCACACAGGATTCAAATGAGACTTGTAAAAGTTGCGATCATCATGATAATATGTTACTTTAAAAATTTGTTTCTTAAATATGAAAATAAGTGTTACTAAAGTTCATTCTAGTTAAATAAGAAATTATAAAATTGAATCTTTCATTATCAGGCCTGAAAGACGCGGAAAATAACTAGTGTATTTTCAAGTTAAGCAAGAATGAATGTATGTAAGCTTATCTCTGATCAAACCCACAAAAGAACGGAAACGTCAACCATTGTTCAAACTGCGATAAGAAAAATTTAATCTGATGGGAGGAAAATAACACTTGCAACGCAGAGTTTTTTGAGCATGATTGAAAAACTCGTTCATCAAAGAGATAGAATTGTTGTGTATAGCTAAAACCAGACCCATTCTTTTCTTACAAACTGAGTTAACTGTATGAATGCGTGTATCAGGTCACAATTTCACAGCATTATTAAGTGAAAAATCATAGACACGATGTATGAATCCGACACTTGATGAAAGACTGTCAACAGGACTGATAACAAGCAAAAAATGCACGTGAGATAAGTGAGACTTTCAAGCATTTGTGTCATATTTATACAATTGACCACTTCTTTCAATGAGACTTGAAGTTGAACTTCATTGTGTAAAACCTGAACAAGAAAATAGTGACCGTAGGAATCTTTACTTACTTGCAATATAAAGATATTACCACTGACCTCAATGGCAGGAAGTTAAGTTTTTTTACGAAAAATATGTGTACTTTAATTATTACACATATTAAGTAGAGGTATAATTTATAAGGATATAATTCACTTTTGTTAGAATAATATGAACGCAGAAGTACATCAAATTATTGTAAATCGTTCAAATAAACTGTGCCTTTGAAAGCTCAGCTATTCATGCTGCGAGTGAATTAACTGACTTTTTAAAGTTGCTTACTTACCCGTGTTTCTCGCATTATCCTTCACTAATTGAAGTTAGTTTAACAAAGGATGTCTCCCTTCAAATACATTGTCTCTTATCTCCTTTCAAAAGCAACCTTATATGATGACTTCAATTTCGGTTGATTGCAATTGCCCGATACTATTGATAATCATTTATAACTAACGGAAGAAAATATAAAAGTTAATACAATAAGCAAACAATGAAAAGTTCATTTATTTAATATTTCAGCTGGAATATAATCAATGGACTTTCGACGTATCCCTCTTTGTACCAATTGCGTTTAAAGAATTGGTTGAGCAAAATGGATCAATAAAGTCTACTTTGAATGAAAATATTAGCAAAAATATTTCATGCTGATATCTTTTTCTAATGTTTTGGTGGGTCAATTGTATTTTGAAATCTCTGCTTAAGAACATGTAGACAATAGAGTAACTAGGCTTGGTCTGAACCATATGCTTCTACATTGCCATATTGCGTGTGTGTGGGGTAGCGTGACATATTCAATAATTACAAGTCCCAATTGTGTTCAAGACGTCTTGTCTTAGATAAGGCCCTTTAATTACTATGATATGAATAGTGTAAATATCACATTTATCGCTTTATTTCTGATGATCGGAAGCCTACATTTGTGCTTTTATTACATCTGTTAAAGCAATTACATATATTTTACAACCAAAATTTCGGTCTGAAAACTATCTTTAATGAAATACCAGCAATATTTGATTCGCTCGACCTTGTGAGAATCACTATACCTTGCCTAATGAAATTTGCTTCACACAAAGGGATTATCGGCAGCAGAAAATTATAAAAAATATTACATAATCAAGTATAATGAAAAGATAATGAATAATTATTTGAGTTTGTGATTGTAATTTCAAAAGGACTCTATATGGTCCAAAATCTTGTAAAAATTAAGTATTTAACATAGTGTGAAATGACAAATATTTCAGTCACGATATTTGAAGTGGTTTTAAGAAGTTTCGACATATTTTTATTTTAAGCGTCTAAACTATTCATAATACATAAAAGAAAAATATTTAACATCTGCCTGATTGCACGTAATGTTATGCTTTATAAAGAAAGATAACTTGAAATTGGTTCCAAGCAAGTTGAACACGTTTGAAACACACTCTAATGGAAGGCACATATAGCTGTTTATTTTTGGAATCTTAAACAACTGGAAATTCAATCCATTTGTATATATATATATATAAATCTCATTTTCTAAATGCGCGTCATGAAAGTCCCCAAGATCTAATATACCTCAACCAATAATCTCCCATCTTACATTCAACCAATCACTGTGGCCATGGCCGGAGCACTGACGCAGAACGTAGAAATCCCCTTATTTATACCACAAAGAATATTATGCACTTAGCGAGGTATTGCTGAGCTTTGTACAAAAAAACTATCGGCAGTATAATGCAGAATGATTTGTGTCTAGATTCCAATAACTTCAGTGTCCTCGAAGAATGTCCCGAGGATCTTTTTCCAAATCTAGCCAAATTCAGTAAAGCTTACCACCATATTCACGTCTTTTTATCCCTAATAATATGTCTATTTGGAATTTGTCTCAATGCTCTCAATGTTGTGGTCCTCTGCCAACGACATATGCGAAATTCTAATAACCTCTTATTATCAAGCCTTGCAATATCAGATGGAATGGTCATGCTGTTCTATATCATTTTCGATCTTGGGTTTCGGTTGGTACCAAGACTCGAAAATGGCATGTCAAAGGAATATGCTTATCTTCTCTTTGTTTATATCGTCGGTCAGAATGTATTTCACACTTTTTCAACGTGGATTATTGTGGTCCTAGCTGCCTACAGGCTTCTCTACGTTCATGCTGGACTTCAAGCGAGAGTTGTCTATGCACCATTGCGAGTATGGCTAGCAATTGCTATAGTGGCACTAACATCTGTAATTCTAACAATTCCTCTTGTGTTTGCCCACGAAGTTACTGACTACAAGCGGCCAAACTGCACTGTGACCGGTCTCTACGAAGTGGACTATGTTAAAAATACCACACTGCAAATTGTCCTCTTCTACAACTCCGCTCTTCTAGTTAAAGCCATCCCAATCATACTTATGAGCGTATTGAGTACCATATTGATTAAAAAGATTAGAGTAACTCAAGTAAAGAGACGTAGACTCTTCCCAAAGGAAATTGGGCGGTCTTCACTAACAGCGTCTTCTTCGGCTGAAGGATATACAGCTGAAGAAAGACGGCTACGAAAGCTTCATTGGTTTTTCTTCAAGTCGTGTGGGGGATTTGAAAATTTTCGACAGACGGCTCAACCAACCAAAATGTTATTGGCTGTGACGATTATTTACATAATTTCCTATCTGCCTCAGGTAACCTGCCAAAAGATTTACGTAACTTTATTTTGTGATATTACATTTTTAGCTAGGTAGTTCAAAATTGGTAAAAAAGATAACTGGTCGAGCCTACTAATTATACGTTTAATCTTGTGGTTAATGACATTTTTAAGTAACTTTTCAAGGAATTTGTCAAAGTTTGAAAACTAATTGCTATCTTCAGTTTTATCATTGAAGAAAGGTTTGTAATAAAATTCGTGTAAAGAGGATTTATTACAAAGGATTTTGACATGTTAATAGATTAATGTGAAAATTCTTATGATTTATTCTAAAATTATATGTTTATATAATATCTTGAAGTAAGGCTTAGGAAATAAGTAATATATTTCATGGAAAACAAGGTATTTGCAAGTGAATACGATTTTGCAGTACGCATGTTAACATCCTTCTAATTGGTGGGTAGGAGTTTATGCAGGCCAAATTCAAGAAACCGTATTGAAAAGGTCTAAGTATGCAAAACTTGTATACATCGGCAAGAATTCAAACATTTTTTGTCATCGATTTTAGTGTGGTACCGATCTTCTATAAAACATTTTTTGCAATATATTCGCTCATATATCGTAAGTAAAAGTGATGGAGTCCGTTTGTCAGAATCATTAAAGTTTTAATATTACAATTCGATTAATGGATATGTTCTGCAAATTTTGAATCATCGGGCCCAGGTAGTAGAAGGGGCACTATAATTTCAAATAATATTTATAAAAACTCCTCGACAAGAACTCTAGGCTTGTCAAGTTGGTCAAAATTCTATATTTTCATAAAGCAATCTTTACATTATTCTAAATTTTGCAATAATTTATTCTCTTTGACTTTTCGTCAGTGAGAAGTAATAATGTATTGTCATACATTCATTTAAATTTCAATAGGTCTAAGGATTTTGTTATTGCAAACTTGTAAACCCAGGTAGAAGTTTGTTAAATACTCAAGCACTATACAACTAGCAATAACCTTTAAGTACTTTTATGAAAGAATTAATCATGTTTTGAAATTAAAAAATTGCATAAAGTAGGAAGTAATCTTCGAGTGTAAGTTTTAAAGGAAATAAATTGAGCATGTCCTTTTGCGGTCATCTGACCTCTGAACGACGAATAGTGAATAATAAATTAATTCAAATTATGTATTCAACATGCAGAATATTTAGATCAATTTTATTTAATAATTTTGTCTTACAGTATGCATGTCCAAATTTTGTCAATAAAAATAGCATTGTTCAACCACGCTACATGATCATTAATGCACATTTCACTTGAAGTAGGGAAGAAATATGTAATCAAATCAAATAGCTTTTAAATGGGCATTGATTTTAACCAAGTTAACAAAATGAATAAACTGTAACCGGCAATAGGACAATAAGTCTGGAGATTAAGTGGAATTTAAACTAATATTAATATGAAATTCCTTATTTGTTGAAGGAAAGCTAATGTCATCAACTTAATATTTATTTATCATTTTTTCCAATAAGGTGCTGAAAAAAACATTATGCATCTTTAGGAACATTTACTTTAAATAACGTAAAAAGAAAATTCGTATTTATTAATTGCAATTGATTAGGGAACAATTAAACGAACAGAACGCTCCCGTTAAATAGAAATATATTTTAATACAAGTCTATATTGCTTCAAACGCCAACTGAATTCCATCGATAATTTATGACCTTGCAAATTATTTTATTGATAGCAAGTGGGATTAGTTGGAATAATAAATGCCATAGTGTTATTTGGTTAAGTTTAAGCAAAATAATATGTGGAGATAATAGTAAACCTTAACAATATCGCCAAAAAATTGGCAACATTTGAGTTATTGTAGAACCTAAATTAATCCTTTTACTTAATTCACATTTCCATATTTAATTTCCTTAATATTTCTATCGCTTTAGATTGATTGGTTTATCTAATCGGAGGGGGGTGGGGAATTTAATATGAAAAATTCCAATTGAAACAGCCCTATGTTTCCAAACCATCTTTTATTAGCATGATTTCTAGTGTTGCCTGAGCAATACGTAAATTCGATAAAACTTATGGAGATTGCACTCGCATAATTTCCCAATTACAGACATACTTATTATAGATGACTTTTATTAACCAACCATCCAATTATGCAATAATTGCATTTGTTGACATGACACATTCGTTATAGGTCATGAAACTCAAAACATCAGTTAGTACAAACGCTTCACTTTAACAAATCAAAATAATTAAAATGTACCTTCAACCTAAACAAGTCAAAAAGTTAATAATTAATCGCATTAGTATTAAATTTAAAGTGATAAATTGTATAAAATATTGATAATAAGATTATCTTTTTATGAGTAGTCGTGAACAACAGGAAAAAATAGTAAATATTTCTTTTTATCCTTAAGGAAAAGTTTCAAGTGACTCTCTGTATTCCTGCGATAAATGCACAGCAATGCGTTAATTTCCCATATTGAAAAATAATTGAAATCAGTCTAATATTTTGTATTTGCTTGTCTCATTTAATTCCAGGTTTCGAAAAAAACAATTTAAGATTTTTCAATAGGCTGTAACGCCACACATATTGATCTAACAGTAGTCTCTCAGCAACAGTTTACACTAAAACTATTCTGTGTAGGCTTATATAGGGGAAATTCTTGGAAGAATTTGCGTCATTATTCTTATTACCGTTATTAATTTTTCAACAGAATCCGTCGGTGTGTATTACAAACTGTTGTATTAATAAAGGCACTCCGCTTTGTTATATTAGAAAAAGTAAATCATTCAAACTAACTTATTTGTTTCAAAAATGTAATTTTAACATTGGTATCTCGATTTCAGTATTGATATTTTTTGAAAGAGGAGAGACGAACATTGAAATGAGTAAATTGTGATTTTAAAATAAACAATTTCAGCTTATCCTAAGCCATGATTGGTTGTATTTTGTTCATGAGAATTTTATGATTTAAACATTTAGAACTATTCAGTTGATTAAAATTACTTTCATGGCTGAAACGAATAGCAGACACAAATATTGGCTCTCAGCAACGAAGGTTTGTTTACCTTTCCATTTTAGCTTTGCTCAGTAAATAGAATTCAGTGTCAATCGATCCTAAATTGGATCGGAGACTTGACTTTGCCATGTTCTAAGTATTGACTTTTGTCGATACCACCATATATTAATTTTCAGTCTTTATATACTTTAATTGACCAAACACAATTGAGTAGGTTAAACAACAGTTATGAGTTGACTTCATGGAATTATCTTGAAGTTGCTCAACACATTTCTACTTTTCGGATGTTCTAAACACAATTGGTTTGCTTTACAAACATTCACTGTCATTCTGAAATTGCAACCGACCGTGAGTAAACAGAACGTGCATGGAGAGATCGCACTTATTGACAACGTTCCTCAGAATATTATAAACTGCACACAAGTTTAAACAGGTAAATTTGAAAAAAAATTCTCGATGCCGGCTAATATTCAAAAAGATACACTATTGGAAAAAAACAAAGAAGTTGGATTTTGCGATACTTAAATAATCAAATGAACAAGAAAGTTCAAGAAGACATTGGAAGCTTCATTGACAAAGGCTGTTAACCCAGATATCAAATTAATTTAAAGTGTTTGACATTTGCCACAAAAAATTTAACTCCACTTGCAAATATTTCTTTTTTCCTGTTTAATAGTAAAAGAAACCCGAGTTTTACTTCTTTAAATATTAACTAAGCAAGGTACTACCTCTAAGAATCTATAAATGTTGTTATTTATACGAAGCTTTAAATATTCAAAACCAGCTCAGATAACTACTACAATATTCATTAAATGAAAAGCAACTTGAAGGCCATCTCAGCCTCAGACCATCGTTAAAGATATTTCGTTTGTTGATTTTCAGTCCGCTTTGCTGATTCTGAATCGATCAATGGGTCGGTGCTTCCAGAAGTACGTCTACGAACGACTTGGTGACCTGATGGATCTCCTGACTCTTAGCAACAATGGAATCACTTTCATAATATACTGTGTAATGTCCTCCCAATTTCGTGACACATTTGTAGCTCTGCTCACCTCTAGGAAGAGAAAAAGTTGACAATTTTGAAGGCGATTTTCTCCTCCGTACTTACTCGTAATATTTCTCCTCTGCAGAAAAGTCAACATGTAAACTCCACACTTACCCTTCCAATACTTCTTCATTGTCCTTTTGCATCCTTACCTAGAGCCTTCAGAAACTCTGCACACATCAACTTTCATTTTTTGCTACAAAATTTTTTCAAAAACAAATGCTGTGTTTATTATTGAGAGAAGCTTTATTATACTTGTCTAATTTTAACCAAGAGTAAAATAAAATGGGTTTGAACTTGATTTTTTCGATATGGCTTAGTTAAGAATCAACAGAACTCTCCTCCAATTAGAAAATGTAATAATTCTCTTATAGTTATCTATTCAAAGTAGTTCTTCATAACTAATAAAAATGACAACAATTACTATTGAAAGATTATTTGAAGACTCATAAAATTAATGTCATTTAATGCAATTTACTTACCGATGACTTATAAATCGATATTCGATCTCATAGGAAAATTCGACTTAAGGTAAAGGTTATTGAGGTATTTGAGCTTTATAATTTATCACCTTTTTCCTAAAAAGTAGTGCTTTCCCATTTGATTTACCCAAAGCGACAAAAAGCATTCGCCAAAGGCTTTTCATTTATAAATGAAATTTGTTAAACATTTTCCTATTAGGTTTGCCAGAATTTTCACCAATTTATTTTTCATCAAAACAGAATAAGAAGCAAAACCTTCTCGCTGAGTTAAAAAATTCAATTATCTATTTTGATGCTTACCTTGTCATTATCAAATCTGAATAGTTAGATTGTAAATACGTTCAAAAATTGGAACATTTTTGTAACGTAAGGTCACTAACAAAAATTGTACCTTTATTTAATTAAATAATAATTTATAGACAGACTCCATGTATTGCCGATTGATAACATGTCGACAAATGTTAGCACTAATGCTTTGAATTAAAAATTATTTCTTTAAGAAAGTCTTAATTTGAAGAATCTGTTCAATTTGAATTTCGACTGGCTGATTGCCTTAAAATGAGATAAATTTAAAATGTATTGTTTAATCTGATTTAATTTTTTCTTAACTTGATATACTTCCTTTTTATGAGCGAGTGTTTACTGAACTAAAGTGAATGTATTTGCATTGAATTTGTATCAAGAGAAAATTCAAAATGTCTTGTAATCGGGTATTACATAAAATGTTTTAATGACTGATATTCAGTGTAATATACAAATTTTCGAATGCTTTTAATCTGACCATGAATATTTTAACGGTTGCAACTACCAAAGTTTATGTCAAATTTAGAACTGTAATATGCTATATTTAATTAATAGAAGAAATTAGTGAATAAAATTTTAATTTTTTTAACTATGTCTTCTTTAGGGAGTTAAAGCTCTTATTAGATTAGAGGAAATGGGAAAAATTGACAAAAGTGTACCTCTAGTATTGAATCCGAATGCTAACCATGAAAATACTTTGGCAAGTTGGCACGATTACAAATTAAAATGATGAAAAAGTACTTTTGATTAAAATCCAATATATCTGTTTAAAAAATTCACCGGACATGTTCTTTATGCTGTTTGTCACCAATTGTCTATTGCAAAGCGGTAATAAATCGCAAGGCTTTCAGAACACTACTCGGCCGGTGATGCTTAGTCGTAAAATGGACGACAGATGAATGCTACTGCATTATCAGAACTAGTCACTCTGTAAAAACTCACTCCACAAGCACAAAAACAGAGACTTTACCCCTGGGCAAGTCCTCACAAAGGAGCCCATTCATTAGTTCCACTTATATTAAATCTCTAATTACTGGAATTGCAGAAATTCGAGGCAATTCATACAAAGAACTGACTTAGGTAATCCAGTTCAGATAAGAATAAGGCGCTCGTGAAAGCGTGGGTGGATAGAGAAACCAGTTAAATAATCATTCACAATTTCCCGAATACCAAGCAAGAATCAAAGGTGTAAAAAAGAGTTAGCGCGAATGCTCGATTTCTTCAACTCTTTTCAACTCTGAACATACTACTACGATACCAACCCGATGAAGTCAAAGAAAGTGATCGAGCAATCAATAATTTCACCGGCGGGGGAGGGGTGATATAAAAACAGGTGAGGTTTATGAAAGAGTATTAAATTTATACAAAATAAAGAGTTCAAAATTCATATACGTCATGACTTTGTTTATGGAATTATCACAAAGAATGAGCAAAACTAGGTAAAATTGTTTTTGCTTAGTAATTTATACTAATTTGACAATAGAAGACATCCGCTTAATCAGCCCAATTTTGTTAAGTGACAATTTCACTGTCATTCGTTTTCTTATTTAAAGTTTATTTCTAAATGAAAATCAAATTATCGTTGCACATTTGCTAACAGGAGGAATCTTACAGATAGTGGAGCAGTTAAGTTGTTAAAGTAATCCGAAATTTATTGCAAGAACACTTCTAATAAATATCCCGCTTGCTTAAGAGTTCTTTTCTAGCTTAAAATTTTAACAATGAATTTTGTGCTATAAAACAAAAATATCACCTAAAATCGCATATCAGCTGACTAGATGTGGTTCTTATTGTATATGGATTGGAAAAAGAATGTGTTAAACTCTATGTCTTATTTGAATTTGCTAATATTTAATCTAGTGAGGTCTGTTAAAAGTATGAGTAAATGTTGGCATCGTTGCATATTTTCTCGGAAACTTTGACCCTAATTGAGTAAAATAATCAACTTTCGATTGATTCCTTTTATTAAGCGTTTTTTGTAACATTTATTAGGAGACTTATTGCATGAAGAAACAATGAAAAATTTTTTAATCAACTATTTTTATAAAATTTGTATTAACGAGGAGAGAATTGATCAATTTTGAAATTAATTTTTTTCTCGCTGGTTTTGAAAGCACCAAAAATAGGTGGGAATTGAATGGCTCACCTCCACCGTCAATGCATGCATACACCAAGTACAAATATCAAAAGGAAAAAGCTAAATCAGAAAATTGTACTATTGGACTAAATTTTATAGCCACTTCCTTACTGCATGAATGGTCTCATGTGACCATTATATTCTTCACAACCCAACATTTAATAGCTTATGAGTGAAAGGATTTCTTAGCTAAAATACAATAAGGTATGAAAAATTTAATACATTCTCAAGATGTACTTATATTGAAATCAAATGCGAGCATTAAAAATACTTACAGAAACTTGCATGTGGCTGTAGAATTCAATATTAACATATTTCCATGACATTCAGCCGCTTATTTTGTCACTATTTTTCATTCACTTTAGACGCAACTTCTAATATCTGTTTCTCTGAACTACTCAATTTTAAATAAACCTCATGCATTATTTTTGGATAGAATGAATGGGATATATATAATCAAATTCGACGTTTTTTGTAATACCTATATCAAATGAGAAAATGTTGATTTTGTGCCTAGTGTATCTATTTATTTAATTTGAAGCGGGGGAAAACGATTTCGAAATATGAAATATATAATAAAATACTTTCACAAATCAATTTTTTTATAGCCAACTCATTTATCTGGACAGCCTTGAATCTTTTTGATAAAATTTTAAAAAGAGAATTTGCAAAATGATCAAAAAGCACGATTACATAATATGAGTTTTGCAAACCATATAACTTGTAAATTCTCCTTACTTCAGAGTTGCAAATAGGGGTTCTAATTGCCCAACAGCCCTATAGGTGAAACCACTTATCATCATTGGGATTGTTTTGCAAGATCCAACTCAGGACTTGATTATATTGATGCTTCAGTCCGACAACGGTCTTTCAAATTTGGAAAGACTAAACATGCATTTTGGAACCACTAATTGACTGCAGCCTAGGTTAGCTTGGTAATAATTTTCTGAACACAGTCCAAATCTGTACTAGCCCAGTAAGTCTCGATTAGTTAATCGAAAACCTTCAAACTTTGGTTGAATTTGGGCTAGCATGTAAGCGACAAGTTATGTATAGTTTTTGATCCACCACCATCTTTTTTTGGATTTCAGCAATAAAAATATGATTATTCTAAAGATCTAGACGTATTTTATTAAACAAGGTAAGTTTTGATCTTCGATTAACATTGAAATAATAGAATCTTTTTGAAAATGATCATTCTCAAACTAAATAATTTCGATTTTTGACACTTTGTAGGACCGCGCTGTAATGATTTCACATTTCAAAAGC